GAGTTAGAGACCAGCCTGGCCAATGTGACGAAACCTCGCCTCTACCAAAAAATACAAAAATTAGCTGGGTGTGGTGGTACACGCCTGTATTCCCAGCTACTTGGGAGGCTGAGTCACTAGAATCACCTGAACATGGGAGGCGGAGGTTGCAGTGAGCCAAGATTGCACCCCTCCACTCCAGCCTAGGTGACAAAGTGACACTGTCTCTAAAATAGAGACATAAAATTAATGACCACACCAAAGTTTTCTGAGGCACAATGTAAAGCTCTTGCATTTTTCTTCCTGCCTATGAGGTTGGTTCCGATTCTTCTGACAGTCAGCAGATGTTGGCTGGTTTGACTCTGAATGACGCCTTTCTATTTTTTTTATTCAGGTGTCCCTCTTTCAGCCAGGCTGGAGTACAGGGACACAATCATGGCTCATACAACCTTGATCTTCCGGGCTTAAGCAGTCCTTTCACCTTAGCCTTCTGAGTAGCTGGGACTACAGGCCGGCACCACTGCATCTGGCTAATTTTTTTTTTTTTTAATTTTTAGTAGAGATGAGGTCTTGCTATGTTGCCTAGTCTGGTCTTGAACTCCTGAACTCAAGTGGTCCTCCAGCCTTTGCCTCTGAAAGTGCTGGGATTGTAGGTGTGAGCCACTGTACCCAGCCCTGAGTGATACTATGTCATACAAAATTTTTATCTCTGGAGGCCTTTGTATTTTTGGGGGGTTTTGTTTTCCCAATGCTTTTCACTTCCTTCTGTATTTGTTCATTTTTAGATGTTTCATGGCAGAGCCATTAGTGTTTTCTGACTTATTAGGTTTTATTTGATTGCATTAGCATTTGAATATTACCCAGCTAGTTGTGGAGTAGGGCAGTAAGCTCATAAAGAAGCAAAATGGTAGAATACACAAATATTACTATGACTTTATCGGTGGCACGCCTTGATTCTTGATCCATGTGGCTGTGTTCAGATCAGCTTAGCACACACTGTCATCAGGGGCTCAGCCACCAGTGAGACTCAAACCCAGCCCTGTCTGTCTACCTTCTCTCTCGACGTGATCCAGCCTCATCACTTGACTTTCTCCAGAAGAAGCACACCTCTTGAGGTCCTCTGTCACAAGCAGGCAGTGTTTCTGGAGAAAGCCACGAGGGAGGTTTTAGTGCTGTTTAGCATCTGTGGCTTCTTCTTTCTGGATACAGTGCATTTATGGAGCCCAGCACGATGTGAAATAGCTCAGTGCTGCCAGTGGTATTGACAGGAACACTAGGGGTGAAGGAGGGCCCTTGGGGCAATTCCAGAAGGTGGGTGGTGGCTGAAGGTCCTCCTCTCCTTTCTGCAGAGATTGGCCACCTGCTTCCTTCTTTCAAGAAGCACCAAATGCCTACTTTATTACCTTGCCTTGTAACAGCCCACTCATTGTGTCAGGAGCATGAAACTCACAAGGCCTTCATGTACTTTTATCCTGTAACAACTCCAGTTTTTCCCACATCCTCCCTTGATTCGCAGATGGACAATTACGGAGGCCAGTCTGGTGAGGACTGCTTGAGTGTGAATTCCTCTCTCTTTTCTCAAACCCAGTTCAGACTAGCCTGAGCAAAATGAGTATATTGATCCATAACTGAAAAGTTCAGAGTGATCACACATCAGGCATGGCTGGATCCAGGGGCCCATATATTAGAACCATCTCCTTCTAGTTCTGGGCTCTGCTAGCCTCCCAGTTGGTTTTACTGCATAGAGGCTTATTCAAGTCCGGAGAGATCTTACTTTCCCTACAAGTCTGTGACCTTGATTCTGAAACTGTGTCTATGGGAAGGGGTTGCACTGTGCTGGGTGATTGTACTGTGTGAACTTTCCTACTTCTGAAGCTGGTGTGGGGTACACTCCACTAAACTACATGGCTCTAGAGTCGGAGGGTGCCCCCTAAGTAACTGACAGTATTGTTACCAGAAAAATCATGAATGGACACTGAGTAGAAAACTCAGCAGATGTTTCTTTCCTGGTCTTTAGGATTTTTTGAAGAGTTTTTTATTTGTTTGTTTTTAAAAGAAAGATTCAAAAGGAAAGAAAAATCAACTGTAGTTATTTTCTCATGATATAAAGATTTTGTAGTTGTATATACATTTGAATTTTTAATAAGATATCTCCCACCTCCTAAAATTGGAAGTTGTTTACTAAGACTTTGTATTCTGTAACAGGATTGAAAACAAATAATTATGAAAATAATTATGAACATTAAAGAAGAAAGCCGGTGGGGGGTGGGGAAGAGTGGTCTTAAGTGGGTAATAAACCTCCTTTGGGCCACATAAAATGGAAAGCAGGGTAGCCTGCTAAGATAAGGTGGGGAATAATGTTAGAGTAAGGTTAATTCCACCAAGTTCAAAGCCGGCAGTGCAGTGCTGGACGTGAACTGGAAATTTGGCTCTGAGGTTCCCAGGCATGGAAGAATACATAGATCTGTACAGAGAGGTTGTGTGCGTGTTTAACATTTCCATAAGGCAAAATTTCCTCTAAGAGTGAAGGCCATGAGGAAATGCCCATGGAAGATAAAAAAGACCACGTGGTCTGTGACAAGCAGGGTTGCATTTCTTTCCCAACACCTTCTCTGGGGCACTTGCCTTAGGAACTCTGCCTCTTGGCTCTCAGCATTGTGTTAGAAAATAAAGCAAGCAGACTTGGATTAAACCCTCGTGTTGCTGGGTTCTTTCTAGAAACAATGGGAGGGCTAACCAAGTCACCTTTGGTTGAAGGCAGTAAGGTGAGTCACTGCTGTGGCTGGACTGAATAGGATAGCCTTAGCTGTAAAACTGGGCTGATCTCTCAGATGGACTCATGCTTGCCTAATGACTCACGCTGCTGTTTACAAATGAGCACGGTAAAGAAATGCAGAGTGGGAAGCATTTTCTGCATAAGGTCTAAGGCAGACCTTAGACCTTCAGGGGTGGAGAAACAAGTACTTCCTCTGGTGCTCTGCTGCCCTTTCTGGGGGCAGATCTTTCAGCTTCTGGAAGTTAGTTGGTGGCTCTCAAAGTCCAGACAGGGTCAGCTGCAGCCATCCTGGGCCCTGGAGTAGCTCCAGTTATGGAACAGTGTGTGGCTCCCTCTCATTTTGGGAGCTCACTTTGCCTGTGGATGGTTTTAATCCATCTGGATAAACTTGGGGCCCATGGCACTACACCATGTACCATGGTAACCATGTACATTGCTCTAAAGATGTGACTGCTGTTGTATACATTTGTCCTTTATTTATATCAATTTCCTATTTTCCAGAGTCTTCCATACCCACTAAGTCTATTGTGATAGTGAATGTAAAGACAATCTCTTATTCTTAGTCCTGAACAAATTACGTGAAAATATTCTTCATGGAATTTTTCTCCATGTAAAACTTTTTACAATGAACATAAAGGGCATAGCCATTTCTCTTTTTTTTTAGAAAAGTAGAATAATATTTCTTCATTGTGAAATCACCCTTCTTGGACCCCAAGTTGTTTTTTACAGCCCTAAATTCTTTTCCCTGTTGACTGAGCCATAGACAGGCCAGTGGGTCTCTACAGCAGGCACCTGCGTGAGTTGACTGGGACCTGATCCATATTCTCCCTCTGCCATTTACTAGCTGTGTGACCTTGGGCATGCTCCTTACCGTCTCTGAGTCAGTTTCCTCCTCTGTGAAACGGGCATGATACTACCCACCTCGTAATAGGTGTGAGGATTAATGGAATAAGAGGCACACTCCTGTCTAGGGCCCCAGACAGAGTAGGCTGTCAGTAAACTGTAGCAGCCATTGTGATAGGGTTTGAAATTCAAATTAACACATATTTCTTGAGCACCCAAGGTGCGTGCTGCTGGATCTTCCCAGGGGTCCAGGATTGGTAGTATAGTTGCTTTTCTCAAAAGACTGTTATCTGGCAGAGGAAAAGGTGTTAAGGTATGAATGAGGGCAGATCAGCCAGGCATGGTGATGCTTGCCTGAGATCTCAACACTTTGGAGGCTGAGGTAGGAGGATCACCTGAGCCCAGGAGTTCGAGACGAGCCTGAGCAATGTGGCAAGATTCTGTCTCCACAAAAAAACGAAAAGATGAGCTGGTCTTTTCGTGCACCTGTAGTCTTAGCTATTTGGGAGGCTAAGACAGAAGGATTGCTTGAGCCCAGGAGTTTAAGTCCAGTCTGGGCAACACAGCAAGACCCCATCTCTCTCTCTCTTTTTTTTTTTTTTAAAGGGGTGGTTAAGTTAAAATGAGACTCATAGAGTGGGCCCTAATCCAACGCAGCTTCCCCTACCCTTTTTTTTTTTTCTTTTTTTTGGA